ACTGTGTGTTTTATTCGAGATAACTTTGTGATAACTCCCCATGAAGGCAAAATACAAGTTGTAGCTAAACTGTATGAAAGGAAAATGAGAGATAATGCTTGCATCTTGTTATTCTAGTTCAGGGATAGGCAACCTTGGCTCTTTTATGACTCGTGGACTTCAACTCCCAGAATTCCTGAGCCAGCAAGGCTGGCTCAGGAATTCTGGGAGTTGAAGTCCACGAGTCATAAAAGAGCCAAGGTTGCCTACCCCTGTTCTAGTTTGATGCTTTAAACAATTTATCTCCTATATAAAGATAGGGAAGAACAAACATAAAATAAGGAAGAAAGATCATGACATGATTTGCTTGCATTTTGATTTGTTTCTGAAAAAAACCCCTCCCAGCTAGCATCTTCTAAAGGTCCCCAACCTTTCGGGCACAAGGGACCGGTTCCATGGAGACAGGTTTTTTTTCACAGACTGGAGGGGCGTGATTTCATGTGCTGCTTGCATCCTGTGGATGGGGCTTCGCTTGTTTGCACGGACCGCTTTCTGGCATGCCGTCGACCAGTGCCGGCCCACAGACTGGGTGTTGGGGACCCCTGTTCTTAAGTACAGATTACCAAACAGAAAACTAACGGAGTTTAAATTGTTTCAGAAAAGATATAAATTCTCACGGACACCAGAATTTTAAAATATTTATAAAGTTTCTACTCTATCTTATTGTAACTCAAATGGCGCAATGTTTTTTTCCTGCCTTTTAACTATCAGAAAGTTTGTTTGTTGATGTATGTTAGTGATGGCGGACCTATGACACACATGTCACAAGTGACATGCCATGTCATTTTTGATAATTATGCTTGAGGCTATGGTGTATTCTCACATGGTCTCTGGGCCTTCTGGAAGTCGCCTGAGAAAGCCCTGGTCTTGCACGGCCTCTGGAGCTTCCAAAAAAAGCAATCAGGAATGGGGTGTGATTTCTGCTCTTTTGAAGGTTGCAAGGAAACACAAGAGCATTCTCTGAAGTTTCCAGGCCTTGTGTAATCCAGAGCTGCCTTGGATAGGCATTTTTTTCCTCAGACGAAGATAAATGGAAAAATATTTACAATTATGTAAGTTTTTTATGCATTTATTAAATTTATATGCTGCCCATCCAAAGCAATTCTGTTCGTTTGCATCCTACTTTTATTATTTTTTACAAATAATTCAAGGTGATGAACATATGCAACACCTTCTTCTTATTTTCTCTACAACAATAACACTCCTGTGAGGTAGGTTGGGCTGAGAGAGAGAATAACTGGACCAAAGTCACCCAGCTGGCTTTCATGGCTAAGGCGAGACTTGAACTCAAGGATCTCAGCTTTCTAGCCTGTGCCTTAACCCCTAGACCAAACTGACATTCTTATAAATTGTTTCTCTTTTGTCAGTATGTGTTTGTGTGCTTGTGCCACAAGTTGGACATTTTCTAAATTTTTGACTCATTTTTGAGCCCAAAATCTTTGCTATATATGTTGATGTTTTAACAAACACATGCATTCTGGCATGCGCAGCCAGACATAATACAGGTGCAAAATCTTTTTTTCCTTCAAAGGCTGAGATTGTCTCTCCCACAATCCCTTCATATTAGCCATGCTGACTTTTCCCTGGGAGCTGATGTGATATAAAACATTTGGACAACATTGCTTTTCTACCCCAGGCATCTTGCAACAATCCTTTGGATTAGGACCAAAAAAAAAAAAAAAAGAACAATAAGCAAAATTATATAGCAACTGAGATCAAAGTTCAAAAAACTCTCTTGTGAATATAGATTAAAGCCCTGAACAATTAAGAAAACATTTATGATCTCTCCTAGCCTCTGTTGAACAGGCTAGTTACAGAATGAAAGGAGAGGCATAGATGAACATAAAAACAGCATTCCATGCAAACAAGTATTTACTACTTTAAATAAAGGAGAAGTTCTGGAAATAAAATATAATCTTATTTACATCAGAAAAGCATGTTGCCTGTTGATTATAATAACTATTTTTAGGTTATTATTATTTCAAATGTTATTATACACACACACACACACACACACACACACACAAATATATATATACTATGGATGAAAATACTTTTATTTAACCATGACTGAATTAATTGGGTCAGAGATGTTCTTTCCAGTTAAAACCGGCAGTTTTCACATCAAGTTTGCTTATTTTTAATTCAGCTGATCCAAACAAACAAACAAACAAACAAAAAACAGATTGAAATCAAATTGTGAGCAAAGGTCAGGTCCACTTTTCCAGACAATTATACAGTATGTTGTTCAATGATACTGAATCCTAAGATAATGAGCTCTCGCAATAGTAAGCTGTAATAGAAAACTCCATTATTTTTTTATTCAGACAAATACAGCTAAATGCTTTGGCATCTTTCCGTCACTGGAATTTCTACAGCAGTGCAAGCAGAAAGGTACAGAAAATCACTGTAGGCAAAAGTGTGTGTTTACTAGCTTTTTTGCTGTTACTGAAGGATTGGAGTTTTTTTGCACACTGCCCGGGATGGCTGTGTCTTAATTTGGGTAGAATTACAATATGGGCATACAGGTAGTCCTCGATTTACAACTTTTCATTTAGCAACCATTCAAAGTTACAATGGCGTTGAAAAAAAGTGACTTACAACCAGTCCCCAACAGCATCTCCAGGGTCATGTGATTAAAATTTGGAAGCTTGGCAAATGGCCCGTATTTGCACATCCCAAGGTCACATGACCACCACTTGTGACCACCTGCCAAACTGGCCACCAACAAGCAAAGTCAATGGGGGGGGGGGAAGGCCAGGTTCGCTTAATGATGGCAAGAATCACTTGACTGCAATGATTTGCTTAATAATCCTGGCAAAAGAGGTCGTAAAATGAGGCGTGATTCACCGAACTCACTTAACGACAGAAATTCTGGTCCCAAATAGCTACCCAGTGTCACTCAACCTTTAGATGGGAGGCATATAAATTTAATAAATAAATAAAATTGTGGTTGTGAATTGAGGATTGCTGGTACTTGAAGATTTTGATTATGCAGACAAAGAACAAATAGCCCAGTGGTCAGGATGAGAACCATATCTTTCCTTATATGAATGAAGTTATTTTTGGAAGGTTTCTAGTATGTCCCCCAAGGCCCTGAAGTCTAGGGACTGAGTGGGGGGGGGGGAAACTGCACTTAGGCTTTTGAACTGTCATTAGAGGAAGGCCCACCTCATCTCCTTGCTAACAATCGTCCAGAAATTATGAAGACGTTTCTTTTGGGGACAGTCTCTTTTCATGTACAATACTTCCAAAGCACCTAAAGGCAGGACAACAAGCAACAGGTGGAAACTAATCAAGGAGAGAAGCAATCTAGAACTAAAGAGAAACTTCCTGACAGTTAGAACAATTAACCAGTAGAACAACCTGCCTTCAGAAACGGTGAATGCTCCAACACTGGAAGTTTTTAAGAAGAGACTGGACAGCCATTTCTCTGAAATAGTATAGGGTTTCCTGCCTGAGCAGGGGGTCGGACTAGATGACCTTCAAGGACCCTTCCAACTTTACTACTACTACTACTACTACTACTACTATTATTGCTGTTTTTATCAAATTGCAGTTTTGATTTTGTCAATGGCTGCACATATGCAGCATATCTAGCCAGGATCTTGAAATAAGACATTTTCCTGGGTTTATGCAATACATGGAACTATAAATTAACCAAGGGTTTCACACAATGCCTTAAACCATTAAAAAAAATGTAATCCAGATAATAAAGTTTACCACATTGTGCAAATGCAGCTGCTATATCATTAACCAATTGATTGACATGTGTGTGGTGTCAATACAGCCACTGTGTTTTGTTTCTCTGTTACTATTTATTGCTTTATATTTCTATATTTTGCTTTGTGATGTTTAGAACTCTGTGGGAGGATAGGCAGGATGTAGATAATTTAAATAAACAAATAGGTATAAAATACTCCAGATTTTAAATGAGAAAGCAGAATGGTGGTACGCATAGTAGTTTCTCCAAAATCATAACCTTTCAGGAAAAAACTGTTTTTGTCATGTTGTATGTTTTCTTTCCTGTATCTTAGCACATTTTTATTGCTGCACTCTCCAATCATAGCCCTTAGGCTAGCGCTGAAGATTAATGCAGATAGATAGAGAAACAGATATAGATATAACGAGACAGCTACATTTCACATAAAATAGTTTGAGGTTCCTTGTTCACACTGAAAGATATATCGTTTATATGTGGCAGCCTTCCGGAATAATGTCAAGCCATCACTTTCCCCTCAATTTATCCTTTAAGTCAGGAAAGGAAAACCATTTCTCCAATATAATGAGACAAAGGAGCCGAAGACCACTTCAATTTGGCTTGGCCTGTCAGCCATCACAGGCTGGGCCCCTGGAAAATTCAACAAGTCCTCAGGTGTGCTGAACCTGTAAATGAGCTCACTGAACATTCAGTGTCGTGAAAAAAACCCATCACAAAAAGGAGTTCTATAAATTCACCGAATTGGAAAAAAACAGTTTCCCTGAGAAATTTAGTTACCAAATTTAGAAATAAGATGCCATTGGGGGGGAGGGAGGGGGGAGCAAGGCTGTTGAGAGGAGAAGCACTGATAATGTTGATTAATAAGTTGCAACCAAATTTAAAGTTTTCCTCCAGCTTAACTGGCCTGTTAATATTCTGCAAACCTGAGCAATGTGCTCTGATAGCAAGGTAACTTTTATGATAAATGTGCTCTCCAATCTGTGCACCAGTCAGGCAGCTATAAAAATCAGAATAATTCATGCAAAGGTTTCCATTGTGTTTCTAAAAAACACTTATTTACATTTTAAATTGCGGAGCAGACAATATGAAATATCCTTCATTTAGACAGGTGTAAGTGAGAAAACAGATGTGTTCATTAAGCGAGGAACAGTTCAACAAACAATAACAACAACAATCATGGAAGGGGGATGGGAGAACTTTACCACTTGGCTTAAAGACTAACGGGCATGAAATAACTTACCTGAAAAAACACAGCCATGGTTCCTATGATCCTTTTTTCTTGGATGGCTGTCCCGAAGCTGTCAAAGTCATCGGGATTGTAGAAATAAATCTGCATCTGTGAAAAATGGAAGAAAAAGGCATTTTTGAGGATCTGAAGGCAAGGTGATGTCTTCCTTTTGTCAATCCAGGAGACAAAAGATTAAATCTCTGGCTTTGTCCTGAAATTCACTGACTAAATCTTATTCTCTTTCCCTCTCAGGCTACCTCACCTAGTATGTTATTTTATTATTACTGTTACTTATATGGCTAGGAGGATTAGATAATGTCCAAGGAGATGTGTGAAAAAGCAGTTTCAATTTAAATCCCATTCCTCTTAATAATAATACAGAACTTTTGAGATCAAGCTATAACATCTAATTACAATAGGTATCCAAGAAGATCAAGGTCAGATGAGAGATAACAGAGCCATATGACAACTTTGAATCTTGAAGGTTTTTTTTGATGAATCCTTGCCTCATTTAGACACTTACATCAGGGGTTCCCAACCCCCCTGTCTGTGGACTGGCATCGGTCTGTGGCATGCCAGAAACTGGACTGTGCAAACAAGTGAAGCCCCATCTGTGGGATGCAGGCAGCACACAAAACCATGCCTCCTCCAGTCCATGGAAAAACCTCCCTCCATGGAACTGGTCCCTGGTGCCCAAAAAGTTGGAGGCCACTGACTTACATCATCCCAGTTGCTGGCAATAACATGTCAATAGTTCCCTGGTTTTAAATATGAATTTATATGTGGTGAAGAGGCACACATGTCATTAACCACTGATGGTGATAAGGACTCCCTTGAATTTGAAATTTGTTTCCCTATCGAATTTCTACACAGGTTCATCTTTTTTAATGTTGCTGAACAAATTGCTAGGAAAACACTTTTATTTGAATTATCCAGTTGTATTTATATCTACAGTGGTACTTTTTAAACAATTGTGACAATTGTTTAGTTTTTAGGTTAAATACTGCATCACTTTTCTCCAAGGATTTCTCTCTTATGGAAAAAGAAATACATATACAGTATAAATAAGACAGAATGTTTGAACAGTTCTGCCTTCAGAGAAGAGAGACTGGTTGGTATAGAAGCACATTAGCCAGTCATAGTGATGTACAGCTTATACAAATATGAAGGCAATCAAAGCACAGCTTTATTCCATCTGCTTTTCTGCAGCAACTGTCCTAATTTATGAACTGAAAGGCACTACAAATTAGGGGCAGATATGCGCACAGCAACATGTGGGTGGCCTTCTGTGTTGAATAACCAACATCTGTGCATCAACTGCTGTTCTATGATAATAAACCCTTGCTGCGTTAGCAACATCTGCAGCTCTTTTTTTTTTTTTCCTCTGCATGTATGTTTTCAGCAGTAGCATCACCTGTCTTTGGCAATTTCCAAATAACTAAGCATGCTAGACTGCAAAAGTGAGATCCTAATAATTGATGATATGCTGAATTGGGATTCAGCTGATACAAAAACTAATCTTGCTGTGTATTGAGTTATTACAATGTTTAGCATTATAGTAAATTAGATAATCAATTTACTGGTAGTTTGTAAATTGCTAAGTGAAGACTATCTGTCTTTAGCTCGGAACTGTAAACTAGCATCTGGCAGTGGTTCTCCAGATTCTTTAGCCTTTCTTGTGGATGCTCATAATTGAAACTATTTGCCAGAAATCTTGGATGAATTTTTAAGAAGAGCATATATGCCTCTGAGCTTCCAATTAAACCTGCCTTGTGAATAATGGTATTAGTTGGAGTTATAGGACCTTCGTATCTGAAAGGCACCAGGTTCTACTACTCTGATCTCCAAATATGGGACACATTTCCTTTGGAAGCTCAAAATCATTATGATTCTTTCCTCCCAAGGCTCTTGGTATGAAAATAATGCAGCAGAGAAGTTATGATCTGGATAGTAATATTCTAGTTTAACCACCCTTTATAACATTCCCTATAATCTAGAGTTACATCCAACTATTTCAGAAAAAGTCAGGGTATTTTTCTTTACCTTCTAATATTTCAGACTAATCTAGTTAATGAATTTTAAATTGATTCAATTTCTATAGCCCAAACTAGCACATTTTCATCTCTAATCTATAACTCTGAAGAGCAAAAGTGCGCATTGCTTTTAACTATGAAAATAAAAGGGTCCTGAATTCTGAAAATGGCACTAACAGGGAATTGTTCTATAGCCAACTGCTTGTGTTATATTCTGGAATCCAGTGATGCCAAGAAGCTGGACTTTCAGAAGAATGAGGCCCTCCAAAGGAAGCAGAATTTCCTTTCAAGATGTAATGGTCAAAGAGAATGTCCCTGAGAGACTGGATTACGATCAGATAAAAGGCAGTTAAGAAGCAATGGAGGTATAGCAAACTCTCCCTAGTTTTTTGGACTGTAAAGGTGAGGGAAGAGAGATATATTTTCAGACTGGTAAGATTCTGTTACCTTTACAATAAAGGTGGTGTTAATATTCATGCCTGGTACTTTTTGTCTGGACTACATCTAAGGGCTGTCATTAGATTTGAAGTGAGTGAAATATTACAAGATGCCATTTTATGTGTGTATGTTGGTATAAATCAGAGTGGAAAGTTACACAATTGCACCAACTGCTTTTGCCCTCCTTTTTTTAAATTTTATTTCCTGAGGAAGAGCATGGGAATTTAGGAGATAATACATTGGGGCTAAAAGATAAGTGTTAATTGTTTTGACTTCTTATTCCCAGCCTCATAGATCATTCTCATACAAAATAACAACCTCCAGGTTTGGGAAAAAGTCAATTTATACAAAAAAATTTAACATGATATATTATGCACTGATGTTCAAATTAAACATAATTTGGCCTTCAGTCGGACTGCTTCAATTCCATTTACCTGAAATCAATAAAATCATCAATAAGGATACATTACATTTTATTTCTCATTCACAATAAACTTAATCCCATTTTCTTAAAAAAATCATAAACATATTTATAGCATACTATGGTAGAATAATAATATTCAATAAATGCCAAACAATTTTAAATCAGATTGATCATATTATAAGGACATTCTTGTTTTTATTTGTGTCCATAGATATAAGGAAAGGCATTGATATATTTTATACATATAATATTTAATATCAGGAGGTCTGCCTGGATGCGAATAAATTTTTGAAATGGTATATCAGAAGTATCTGAAACAAAATTTGGTTTAATACAGATTGTTTCTGTCTTTTATCAATCAGATTAACTCTTGCACTAGAGTGATTAAAAATATTTTTTCTTCATTTATGAAGATGTTCCCTGAAACTCATCAGAAATTTCCTTTACCTCCTTTTTTCAGTAAATTGGCATTGGACTTATTGGCCTGTTTTATTGTCCAAACCAAAGACATTTTACGTATAACTGTGACTCAGCATAAAGTATTATTGGTGACGTGTCTTATATTTATCTTCCATACAAAAATGTATTGATATTGTGAAACAATTCAGAAATTTATCATATATTAATTGGAACAAATTATAGCTATTCCTGTAGGTTCTCATATCTCTATAGAAATGTGTAATAAATGGGAGATTCATTGTTTATTCATTTATTCATCGTATTTCTCATGGGACTCTGAACAGTTTCACAATACAAATATGAAACAATCATAATCTAGCGAAGTCAAAAGGCAGAAGATACACAAATCCAAAAAGCAATTCAGTAGAACAATTGGGAAAAAACAGGTATCAGCCCCCAAATATCCTCTGAAAGGGCTCCATTTTCACTGTTTCTGGAAGATGACTAGAGTTGGGGATAATTTAACTTCAGTGAGAGGCCTACAGGTGTGGGCAAGGCTACAGTAAAGCAGTGTATATCTGTGCCTTGATATCCTACACCTCTTGGAAGTGGAGAACCACCAGTTACAGATTTAATAGGTTGGGCTGATTCAAGAGAGTGAATGTAATCTTGAAGATAAATAAATGCTAAGCCATAAAGAATATTATGTTAACACTACAGCTTTGAATTACACCCAGATGACAAAAGAAAGCCAGTGCAGAGTCTGTCAAACAGATTCAATATGATCTGCAACCTAGAACTAAGCAACCTAGAACTAAGAAGAAATTTCCTGACAGTTAGAACAATTAATCAGTGGAACAACCTGCCTCCGGAAGTTGTGAATGCTCTAACACTGGAAGTTTTTAAGAAGAGATTAGACAATCATTTGTCTGAAATGGTATAGGGTTTCCTGCTTAAGCAGGGGGCTAGACAAGACGATCTCCAAGGTCCCTTCCAGCTCTATTCCATTCCATTCCATTCCATTCTAGACTGGTGAATACTAGATAATAGACTAATGGCTCCATTTTGAATCTACTGAAGCTTCTGAGTGGCATTTAAAGGCACCCTATATAGTGCATTGCAGCAGTCTAATCCAGCGGTCTCCAACCTTTCCAGCTTTGCAGACTGGCAAGGGGGGGGGGGAAGAGGGGATGGTTCCATGCGAGAGGGCATCTCTATTTGCACAAGTGGCTGACACGTGCACCTGCTGCTCATGCAAATGGAGCTGGTGTGTGGGCTCACCCTCTGCACACATAAGAAGAGCTGTGTGTGTGCTCACACACCGCTTCCACAACCTGGTTCTGAATGGGCTGTGGCCTGGGGGTTGTGGACCCCTGATTTAATCAATTGGTGACAAGGACATAAGTCATTATACTAAGATTCTCATGGTCTACAACTGGTAATAATTCTTGATGGAATTCCTTTACGGATTTCAGAATAATTTTCCAATGAGCCTTTCCTCACTTAAAGATGTCTTTTTAATCATCAATTATCATCAGTCCATGAAGTATGGATTTCTCACATGACAAAAACGTTAATCATTCAGTATTGTAAACATTAAGTTAAACTAAATTTACAATCTTTGATCTCTACCAACTTTCACCTTCAAAACTGGTACTCCCTCAACCCAATGGGAAAACTGATGAATACTACTTTGTCCAATGAAGGGTTTAATGACTTATTTTAAAAAAAATATCTGGATGCTATCTTCTATATGTAAAACAGAATGATTTTATATCCCTGTCTTTCTTTTGAATATAATCCATATTTCTAAA